TGTTGCAGAGGTTGTATTTTCTGACCATTAGAAACCGCATCATATTCTAAGTGGGAGACCTTCCTAACTGTTTGATACCTTGGTTTTTTTTTTTTAAGTATTATCTACTACATATGCAAGAATATCTGATCATCAAAACTCTGAAATTTAAATATTTTAATTATCTAAAGAGTTCCAAACCTGAGATGACTTGTATGTTGTTTTGATGTTTGAACCAAGGCGAACAATTCAACATCCCTTGCAAACAGCATTTGAACTCGACAAAATTTTAAATTTTAATGAGACATTAAAGAGTACATACTAGTTGTTTTCCAAATTTTGTTTTTACAAAGTATAAAGAAAAATGGTTAATGGCATGAAGGCATGAATTAAAGGTTATGAGTTAAGGTGAAAAAGGAGATATGAAGTAGTGAACCTGTTTTCCCAAAACCTCATCATCGCAATGTCATGTAATCATGTGAAAAATGAAATTGAAACTCATTTATCATTATTAACCAAAAATATTTTAAAAGCATTGCATATCAATTGTTTCCATCATTCTACTCTCAATCATCATTTCAATTCTTCTCATTCTTCTATTTTCTTCCCAACTAGTTCCAACTATCTATATTTGAGCAAGTTTTACGTAAGAAGCGATTTTACCATGATCACTAGAACTCTTGTGGCAGAGATGCTAGTATCCGTTGCAGCAAAGTAGTCCTTTAAAACCAGGATGACTTACTCAATAAAAACTTGTATTTAAAGATCTTAGTCGTAAAAACTGAAACAAAATTCAAAAACTTGCTTCCTCTTGTCAACACTTGTCAAAATGGAGCTCTTTGTAGGAATAGTAGCTAAAACTTTTATGAGCTCTAGGGTTTATGGAATCTACAAATAATGAATGGAAAGAGTATACTTTTGTTGTAAAGTAAGAAGTTAATTTTGCATAAAACAGTTTTACAAAACCTATTTGATTTGATTGCAAACCTCGTTGAGCATCTTTCTTATGTTCAATGTTAACCCAAAGCTAAAATCTATTTTCTTTATTGATTTATGCAATTTTAGCAAACCTTACACTAACTAAAATCTTTAAGGCAAAATATATTATTAAAGAGATTCGATAAGAACATGAGAAATTGTTTGAGCGATCTTTGTACAATCGGAGATTCAATCTATAGCCATGGAATGATCAAATGGTTCTCATCTCGAGCACCTTAGGGAGTTATAATTATTTTTGGTATCTGTTTCTTTTTCGAAATATGTCTAATCTTTTCAGATTTAAGTAACAATCATTGTAAAGTTTTTTTTTTTAAATACTGATTTTTTATTCATTCAAAAAAAAAAGAAAAATCGTAAGGATTCGAAATTTGAAGAAAATTCCTTGTGAAGTAAACGTTTAAAGTGTTTGAAAGTTCCAATTTATACCTCTAAGATGATAATTGTTCTCATAATACACTAACTAGAGAACCTTTGTGACAAGAAAAAAAAAAGATAAGAAAAAGAGTTCAGCTTTTGCGGTTGACTTAGGCCAGAAATAGTGCGAGACATAAAGAGACACTATAAAGGGAATCCTATCCTCCACCTTCATCAACACACCTTTTGATTCTCTCTTCTTTAATATTTTGCTTCTCCACATAAGCTTTACTTTTATTTTTATATAACTAGACATTCGCATATACCAAAACCTATGCTAATCTCTGAAATCTACAAACGTTATGTGAATTAATATACCAAAAGGAAGATGTTTAATGGAAATTGATCTTTAGCCTAGACTCGTAAAGACAAGTCGTCGTTAAATGACCATGATTTGATATATCTATTATCTTAAGTTACTCTCAATTTTTTAAAATTTGGTTTACCAACCTTTTTTGTTCGATCAAATACAACATTTACGTTATAACTCATAATTTGTTTCTTCCATCTACTCATAATTTCCTTTTTAAGAAAATAATCAAGTCTTAATTTTGAATATTCATCTCTTCCAACAAAAAAAAAAAATACTGCTTTTGAAGAGCAAAAGATAATAAAAAGGTAGTGGGAACACACAAAGCCATGTTGTTCTCCAATATCTTCATTAACTAGCTATACATATTTCATTTTCTTGCTTTAGGCTCTAGCTTTTCTCTTTTTTCTACTTTTCTTTCTGGTGCCTTCAAATTTGAATCTTGATGTATCCAATTATATCCCGGAAACTCATTTTTTCTCCGTTTTACCTAAATTCATTTTCCGAGACGTACAAAATAATCGGAATATGCAAACCAATCCAGCACTTATTTCATCGCTAGATAATCCATACACATTACGTCATGACTCTTCAAAGTAAGTAATGTTCATGCACATAAAAACATATACAAATGAACACATAAGATCTTAATTATATTAACGTACATTTATATGCAACAGGAAAGTTATGGAAGGCCATATATATGTTTCTATATAATAATGCAAAGTTGAAGTTAACGTCAATCAAAAGATGAGCTATCCGAGAATAATGTTACTAACGTTAGGTGTGTTTGTTTGACCAAATAACAATGACCCACTCGAGCCCTTCGGCTTTCGTCTTCCAAAGCTTTTATGTGTGTGGCCTTATTCGACAATCCTACAAAAACCAAAACACTTCGAAAATCTCTCCAAGACAACACACGACACTTCTTGGATACACAAAATTGACATATTCGTGTTTTTTATATGTTATTAATAGTTTAAAATCTTTAATACAAACAAAAATAGTCTCATTAATCGAGTTTAACAAAAGCAGACGATTGCCCCAATGGGAATAATCTTGTAAAGTCTTTTTTATTTATATTTGCAAATTTTGATCTAAAATTTAGATATGATCCAGTGTTAAAAGTATATTGTACAATGGTATAAATATCAGTTAATCTATTTGATTTAAAAGTTTAGTTGATTTTCGAAAAAAGAAGTTTACAAACTAAAAAGAAAAATGGAAACTAGGATTAAGGCATGAATTAAGGGTCATGACTGAAGTGAAGAAAGGAGATATGAAGTAGTGCACGTGTGCTCCCAAACCTCATCATCACCATGTCATGTGCAAAATGAAATTGAGACTCATTTATCATTATTAATGGCACCAAAAATATTTTAAAAAACCATTGAAAAATCAATTCATTCCATCATTCTACTCTCAGTCATCATTTCATTTATGCTCATCATAGCTTCTATTTTCTTCCCAACTAGTTCATTTTCATATTTTATTTTTGGCAGATGACATAACTTTTGTTTTCAATCCATATCACTTTTTGAGGCTTTTCTATATACCAAGGAAGTTTTTGTTTTTTTAATCAAAATAACACTTAATTTTTTTTTATCAAGTACCGAATATCTTTGTAACATTCATAATTTTTTCTAAAAAATGCATGAGATGTAAAATATTTGAGAATTTATAAACAAAAAAATCTAAAACAAATAAAAGTATATAAAACACAGTTGATTCTTACGTTAAACTTGATTCTTACGTTAAATTTGTATCTGTAAATTTAATTAACTCAATTCGTCTATTACGAAATTATAATACATAATTTAGTAGTTTGTGTTATTATTGTCATTGTATTACTATTTATTTTTTTATCCCAAACTATATAAATTCAAATATGCATATTGTTGATAAGTGATAACAAGAAGTTC